TTTATTATATAATAGGTTCCACAATATTACGGTCTCCTATTGAAATCCTTGATCATTTTTAATTTATTTCGCAAAATATCATTGTTATTAAGCTTATAATGAAAAGTTATGCTTAACTCGGTAGTTTCCTCATGTTTAGTAAATACGGTTATTGGATTGTTTAGAATTAACTTAGATTTAAGGAATGTGAAAACGAGCTTGTTGCAATTGACCCAATTATAATGTTAAGTCATATTGTAAACGTATTCAATTGATATCATTTTAATCCTTGTCAAAAGCCTTGCTAAATTGTGTATTGAACTATCGGGTGGCATCTAAGTAAGTGCGGATTTTTGCTAGAATCAAAGTCATTTTTTGCTATCTTTTATGCAGCATCATTATCATAAAACTTACAGGTTTTATTAGCAAAAAACTGAATCAGGTTCAATTTGACATCATCATAATCATTAAATTGTTTATCATTCAAGGAATTTTGTATAGATCGAAACAAATAGTAATCAGAAGGTGCATGGTTAAGATGATGGTGGATGTGGCAAAATATCCCAACAAGCTTCAGTTTTTTTTTGCCGAGTGGCCAAAGATATGTGATGTCAATAATGAAATAAATCGCCATTTCGATTTGTCAATTTAGCAGTTTGCCTTCAACTGCGTTATTTAATTTCGTTAGTTGCTCAATGTAAACATCAGATTGATCGGTGGTAAGAGTGATATCATCTAGACGACCAGAGCATTTTTTATCTTTGAGTAAAAATCACCAGAATGAGTACTAGCAAACCAATTTTGATACTGCCGTTTTTTAAGGCTTTATCACCATAAACAGCTAAAAAAAATTTGTGAACTTTAGATGCCGTTTTACCTTCGCAAAAATAAAGAAGCAAATATAACAAAAATTTTCGATTTGATTTTTCATCTTCAACGCCAAACGAAAACTACGCAATCGCAAAAAAAAACTCTTCTTTTACTGATTAACAACTCAGGGTATTTTACATTTGGACTACGTCAGCAACCTTAAAATTGAAACCGTCTGAGAGTAAAATCGCATTTACTCAGTTGCCAACCTAATAAAACTTAGAAATTCTAATATTAAAGTACTATATTAAATTGTTCTGTGAAACGTAAGAATGCTGTCTTATATTGATTATGACTTATGGTGGAATCGCGTGCCGTTCTGCCGTGTGTGTTCCTTACCAAATCCTTATTGCTAATGTGTGTGATTTGAAAAATCTCATCGTATATTATTTTCAAGTGACATGTTCGAAATTAACATAGTATATTTTTGGTAATTTATTATAGAAACTAACGCAAATTTCATATTTGATACATAGCCATTTAAATAACTTTAATTTACATTTTTACTTGACTATTGGTAATATGTATGCTATGCATTATATACATTTTATTTTTAATTTTGTTACAATATTTTTTACCGGTTTCTTATCGACTGACGCATATGACTGATATGGCGACTAACGTGTTAAAAATTTTTTTACGCATATTAAAATTGATATCTCTGATTTGAAGAAAAAAATGCATTTATATTATAAAAATACATCAAAACCAAAAGTGGAATTTCTGTTTTATTTCAGATATTTTCACATCTGTTTGAAGTGAAAGAAAAAAATATTGTCGTTAGTAAGGACGTTTTATAAAATCCTTGATCTTTTTATTTAGCATACATTTACTAATTATGCATTCCGATTTGCCATTGTATATTATTGTATTATAGAATGATATTTAATCGATGAAAATATTTTATTATATTAACCCAGCCTGAATAATAATATTGATTGATTTACAGGAATTTTTGATTAACTAACAGCATTCTCTTGCAGCATTTTGTCTCGCTCTGCTTTGTGTTTGTGTCGTTTGAATTTATGAACTGTTTTATTTGTTTTAATTTATATTATTTATATTATAAATGTTATCTATTTTATTCTGATAAGATGTATTTTCTGTTCTATTCGTGTGCGGCTCCACAACACAGATGTTAGACGTTCAACGAACTTCGATGCCGAAAACAACGACCCAGGTTCGGAAATTTGAACTTTCGAAATTCGACTTTTGTATTTTAGATAGTAGTTATATTGTGTATTTTTTCCATAATCTTACATACTTGTGATTTTTGTACCGATTTAGAACATTTAGATCTGATTTCAATTCCCAGTTGTGAAAATATTAACTATTTAATTCTAATGTTGATTGTATTTATTCATGATCTAATATTTAACTTAACATACCAAGTATTGAACTTCATAATCAATTTCATATTCTACAATAAGTCTGACTTTTTTTCTGCATGTCACTATGATTTGGGCGTTTTTTGCCTTCAAACTTTTCTTTTTCTTATTTTTATTTTATTTTCAATAAGTAGATATCTTGATTATATATTTAGGGGCCAATTTTCGGATAAATTAGAAATGTTAGGGTATTGCTATGTTGCGGGTCAAAAAGCTATGTATTTGCTGTGCGATCAGGTGTTTTTCACATAAAACCTAACCTCCAAAAGACACAAATGTCACATATGTGCAAAACGCCTGATGGCACAACAAATTCATAGCTTTTTTGCAGCTTGTGACTACCAACTCATACGATCATAGACCTGTATCATAGTGTCACCATATTTTTTTTTATTCGAGATTGGCTCGTCAGTTTAATTTATTATATTTTACATTATAATGATCAGATTTATTTTGTAATTGGCAGATATTTTTGCTCGCATTTAATAACTAAATTCATTTTTATTTTACCATATATAGAAAGAAGTCTCATTACTTAGCTGAGCTGAACTATTTGCCATTAATACTCTGACAATTAATATATTTATAGTATGTGTGTGTATTATTATTGTGAATTTTTAGATATTTTATATAGTATATTTGTATTCGAACGAACTGAAGCCTTTGTACTGATGCAATTAACACAGAAATTTTCATATAAAAATAATTTAGATAAAACATTACCAGAAAGTTTATTTTCTTGTTACGATTTTTTAAGTTTCTAAATTTATGTTAGAGATTCATAGCTTTTCAATAATAATCATATGAAAGTAAGTTATGTGGCGGTGCTAGGGGCTTGGTAACAGTTCTTTTTAAATAATATATCTAGAAATCCTCTGATTATATTTCTATGAAATAGAGGTAAATAGATGTTTTATCTATTCCTCTAACAAATAAAAGTGAAAATAATTTCATAACTATTGTTCATTATTTTACAATAAATTATTTTCTAGAAAAAATCCGGTATTAAAATTTACCCCGTGTTTAGGGCTAGTTGTAACATCTACCGGGGCAAGTATTATCGACAAAATAGAACAACAATACCTCAGATAATTTCTTATTTACTTATTTAAAAAAAAGATTTGCTTGTAATTCTTTTTATAAATCAACGTAAACTATAATTAATACAAATAAAATATAAAATGTCACCTATAATATAATTTTTTATCATAAATCAACGTAAACTATAATTATTATAATAATACAAATAAAATCTATAGTATCTCTTGTAACAGAATTTACATGTGCCCACATCCTACAAACTATATAATTCATTCAATCTTCTTCACTTGAATCTGTATATAATTTTTGTAAATTACGACTAGCCACAAGGTTTTGTTTCAACAAACCCCAGGTGTGATTTTTTTACATTAATTAAGATAACTTAAATAATATAACAATCACAAAAATTATTACACATTATTAAAGTTTGATAAATTTTAAACGAAAGAAGATATATAAAATTCAAAATTAGTCGATAATAATAACGCTAACCGAAATTGTAAATGATATAAATGATAGTTCAATTTTATGTCACCTGTCAGAAATGACGCACCTGCACAGTTCTGTTTACTGCATCGGCCTGCGGGACAGTAACTATGACAATATTATGCAGTTCGGTTTACATGTCCAATCGAGACAAAACATGCTTTAATATCGTTTAAGATCCTATTAAAAAACACTTGTTACTACTTACTCTGTTACAAAAAAATTCTAGCACACCCACATACATTTCTTCTTTTTTCAATTAAATCTGGCAAAAGCGCATTGATTTATTCAATTCTGTAAATCATAATAAATTACACATAAACTACATAATGTGAAAAGCAAATATGGTAAATCATAAGATATTTTTTTTATTTTTTTTTATTTTTATTCTGCAATCTATGAAAATAATTACATTTAGGAATCATAAGACATATATGTTGTTCTTGTATATAAATTGACAATAACTTCCTAGCATTGTGTTACTTATTTATGGACCTTATCTGTCGTAAAAAAGACCAATGTTATGGCAAGGGTATGCTACGTTTCAGTTTTCATACAAAATGGTACTAAATACTGTCAAAATGCCTTGTATTTGCTGTACATAAGGCATTTGACACATAAAATGCAACTTCACTCATATGTTATCAAGCCATGTTTCAAAGATCTAGTTATGATAACATAGTTTTTTTTTTACATTAATACGTTTTCTAGGCCAGGTTTTCTGTCTAAAACGCCTGACTGCACAACAATCACATAGCATTTGACAGTATTTAGTACCATTTTGTATGAAAACTGCTACAAAACATAGCATTAACATAACATCGGTCTATCTTACGACAAAATCTTCCCCGTATTTTTTCAACATTTTGTATCCAATTTATCTACTACATATTAGTACACTCGCTTCATTTGACATATATGAATTTTTTTCTATCCATCTAACTATTTCCAATCCGATTCAGGTGGTGCTTCGGCGGCCGGGTCTCGCGACCGTCCCGCGACGGACGAGCGACTGCGGCACGTTCGCGACAGGCAGCAGGAAGAACGCCAGCGTCGGCTCGAGGAGCTGAGGGCCCAAGCGTTGGCCGCGCAGAGGTTCAGGGAACAGAAAGAGGAAGAGAGGAGGAAACGGATCGAGGAGATGCGGCTGAGGGATAATGACAGGCGCTCTCAGGTGAGAATATATTATATATATATATTTTTTTATTACTCACTTTTATTTAGCAATCAGAAATACATAAACATTCTTATAAGCTAAAATGACAATATTTTAAGAGCGATGTCTAAGAAGAACTCCAATGAGAACTTCTCAGAATTATATGATTTTATATTAGACCTAATCGAAGACTAAGTCGAAAGGCCATTGTCGTTTCAATCTCCTCATTCCAAAAGGTTGAGTAATGTCAACTATAGAAGGGTTCGAATGTGAGTCCAGTTTGCGCATGTATTTTTCCTTGAATTCTTTGAACGTTAATTGCACCGTTTTCATATTGAGGTCCCTGTGAATGGTTTCATTTGTCACGTACCACGGAGAATTAAGAATTGCACGTAAAATTTTTGACTGAGTTCTCTGCATTATAGCTATATTAGATTTGTAAGCGCATCCCCAGAGCTCAATTCCGTAGGTCCAGATTGGTTTAATAATTGATTTATATAGCAGCAACTTATATATATTATATGAATATAAAAAGTTTAGACTTTATTTGCTATTGCACAAGATGACAATTAAGTAAAAAAAGAATAAGAATTTAAAATATCGTTTCGCTTACTACCAGAGATATCTAAAGCGAGATACATACGTTCAGTCAGGAAATTGTCTAAATTCTTAAGAAAGCTCCATCAATAATAGTGATGTGTTCGAGCTGATACTGAAGAACAAAACCATTCTTCTTGGGTTTTATATATTAATTTCGCAATAGAATATGGAAGTAAAACAATGAAATAATAAATTTTATTTTTTATTCAACTTTTGACATTTTTTTCGTATGAAAAGCTCTAAAACAATCATCTACATGTAATGGTACATAACCGTTAGTTTCGGTCAGCAGTGTTCGGCCATAAAAAAACTCGTGATCGGTCAACAAAGTGTTACATATGGTTTTATTTTTAACTTCCCGTAGGGCAAGTTACAGTAATCGCAAAAAAATCGAAAATGAAAATTTTTATTTATCTTTACGTTTCAAAACCTTCTGAACATTTTGGCATACCTTAAAAAAATTGATGTATGTGTGTGTGTATGTGTGTATGTGTGCGGATACAAATTTTCGTCGACGATTTCGGGAACACGGATAAAGCGATTTGAATAATTCAAAAAACATTCGATTCGTATTGATAAGTAGACCTGCTGATTAGTTTTTGGCGCAGGCAGGTCTAGCCGTTCCGAAGATATGGGGCAAAAAATGCCAAAAACGGTAACCCAGTTTTTAAGAGAACGGAGCGTCCGATTTGAGTAATTCAAACAACATGTTACTTGTATTAACAAGATGAAGAACTGATCAAATTTTCATGAAGCCAGGTCTAGCGCTTTTGGATATCTTGTAAAAAAAGTAAAAAAAATGCCATTTGGCGGTCAAAAATGATCATTAGACATATGCACATCAAATTATCAGATATTTTATAGAGATTTTAATAATGAGTATAATTTTTTTTACATTCCTATGGGTTTCGTACCAATGTTTACGCTTCGATATTTTGTCTCTATGCAGTTAAAGCAGTACGATTGCTTTGAAAAAAAGTTCAAAATTTCCAAAATATGTCAAAATAATGAAAACATTTTTTTTTTCAAAAAAAAGTAATTTTTTGTCAAATTTATAGTTTCTCAAAAATCTAATTTTTTCGAAGTAAATTTTTTTCAACGATGTTAATCGTTTTTAAAAAACTAATAATTTTTGGTACGGGAAGTCCAGCAATTTGCCCTAAGGCACGATGCCATGCGCCCCACTAGTTATTCATCGTTATTGCCACTCTACTAACTTTCCAAAACAGCGTGAACTAAATCATCACTTACATCAGAATCAGTTGTTATAACAACCCTCCTGTATCAATAACTTAATTTTTATGGAATTGCTGACATACATATTTTTCTTGATCAGCTGAATGGCAACCTATATACATATCTGTAGCAATAAATACTGCTGAGGTCTACTACTAATCTGTCTTGCCTATAAAATTATTTGGATTTTAATTACCTTGAAGATATATAGCAACTATGGATAAAAAAATTAAAGCTTACGTTTCTTAAACAGCACGACATTTTTAGATGTTAAATTTGTTTTCTTATTAATATTATTTATGACGACGATGTATTATGGTTTTGATTTTCATTAAATCTAGATTTCGACATAACCTTGACATTGGTTGTTTGATATTTGAAGTATAGAATGAAAGATATCACGTGACGAGGCGATCTCGATCAATCATATCAACTCGTTTAGAATGACCACTTCGATGGCCAATGACCAATCAGTATTTTTTACGTAACGCACTTCCGTCCTAATGATGGTTTTTTTGGCTGAGTTTACCCCCTCGTTGCGCCTAAAGAAGTTTTACTTCAAAAAATATTGAGAAAACGTCTATGTCTGCATCTTTATTTCCCTATCTCCGTGTATGGCATTTTCCACGCATCAAACAAAATTCCAAATAATCACGTCAAACAATATTAATTGCATTAAAATACACTTCCTGGTGTATTTTTGCTCTTATTATGTTATCATAAAAGCTTTTAACGTAACGACAAATTGTGTTTATCGCTTTGAAACAGCCTTCTGCGTTCCAGAATAAAGATGCAAGATATTGATATAAATTGAACATGTCGCAAATCACTTGAGTGCGATGTGAACTAGATATGACAAAGTGTCAAAGGATTTGAGCACATGGGAGCTAACCATAACAGATCATACATAGCAGATCTTGTAAGATCTGCATTTAGATTACTGCGAAACTCCATTACGTCTGGGAAATGCTAACGATTATGTAGTCAATATAAATGATTGATAGTTCGCAAATAGAGAACTATTATTTTAATAAATGATATTCTTCCTATATTTATAAATGATATCCTTCTATAGTTGGAAAGATTTTTTTTTTCATGAACCGTACTATAATGTTATTTAAAGCTTAAATACGGATTGATATTATTCTTTTTGCTTTTTAATTGATAAACAACTTAAACGTGTTTTTCTCATTAAAAAAACATAATCATAACAACACAAAATTAATCTTTTTTAAGTGCCATGTGTCACATGAGATTTCGGTCAATTGATCCATTTTCTTGCAACATTGCAGAATGTCTAATTTACATTGTAAATATTTATTACTATTTGTGATTTTAATTGAGTTCGATTTCGGCATCACATTCATTTTGGCCAAGCTCGATATCAAGCATTAAATTTTTCTTTGAGGCTATAGATCTTAACGATAACTATGTGAAAGCCGCCTTTCGTGGTAATTGCTGCATAACAGACAAATTATTACTATTAGATACTCATATTTAATACATATATAGTAAATAGATATTTGAAGAAATGTGGTTAACTACGGGGTTGCTCTATCATAGAAATTATAAATTCTATCAAACAAATTATAAATGTAAACACAGCTCAATGAACCCATACTCTTCTGATCGATATAGTAAAAAAAACTGATTTTAACAGAAAGTTGTCCTTTATTATGAGAAATCATAACGTATCGACATTTTGAATGATTTTGCATATACAGAATTTCAGCAGATATTTAATTTTTTTCCAATCATAACCTTTTATGGGCTCTCGTAACTTTCAGGTCACATTCCAATTTTTTCGGCAATTCACCAAACAATAATGTTTTTTTTTATTTATAAATTCTAATTCTATAACATTGTCGGGAAAACCAATATTAATATTCATGACCTTTGCTAGGCTTTTCAACCAAAAATCATTATTAAAATATATCGAATAAGTAATTTGATAATACTAATAACCATTGTAGCGTTAGTTGCTTTCTCATAAAAAATATTAAATTATAAATGTCAGTCAGCTAATCACAGCTCAAAGAACACATGATCCTATGATCGATATAGTAAAAAAACTGATTTTAACAGAAAATTACTCTTTATTATGAGAATATTTTATTATTAGCATTTTGCATATACAGAATTTCAGCAGTTTTTCGTATTATTTTCAAGAATGGGTTCTATGGGCTTTCGTAACTTTCAAGTGACATGCAGGTCACATTCAAAATTTTAGTATTTCACCAAATAAACATGGCCTTTTTCGTGATTTATAAATCTTAATTCTATAACGTTGCGAAGATAACAAATATCAATATTCATGGCCTTTAGTAGACTTTTCAACCTGTAATAACATTTTCATACTCAGAAGTGCGAACATCATAGGCCGCTGTGACTTGAAAGTCACATAATTCATTAATACCAATAAAGTTGGTAAAACTAAATTTTTTGTATTTTATTTGCATATACAGGCTTATATTTACTGATTTTGTGTTTACCTAATTCTTTGGATTTAAAACAAAAATTCGGCCCATAAAGGATTAACCAAAACTCATGGTTTATTGGCAGACCATAGATCTGTATTTTCCATACACTGCCTGTTCTAATTTTTTCTTGTACATTGTAATATTTACCTATCTCATTTTCCAATGTGTCCATCCTAATTCTAGGTCGAAGAACGCAAGAAGGCGATCTGGGAAGCAGAGCGCGACCGACGCGAGGCGATTCTGCGCAAGAACCAGGAACGCGAGGCCAGGATGGAAACGAAGCGCAGGAACGACCGCAGCAATATCGTCTTCGCGTTCGGAAGCTCGACGCCGCGTATGCTCGAACCAGCAGACACTGGTGGATCCTTCTGGGGACATAGAAGGTCAGTAGTAAATGATAATTGATATTGATATACATTGTTTTGTAAATAGCTTTGAAGTATTTTTGATTTGTGCACTAATAGTCCAGACATTATAGTAAGTTCACCTCGGAATTCGAGATACCCAGCTGTAAGTCTGTAAATACTTGTATATTGACACCTTAAAGTTGTCCATATGTGGGTTACTACCATATGTAGTTTTGAGACAACTTTTAAATGTCAATATATAAGTATTTACAGGCTTACAACTGGGTATCTCGAATTTCGAGATTCTTACCTAATTTAAGCTTAAATGACTGGACTATAACCTTATTAATTTTTTTAACTACTATCATAAGACTAACCGAATCCAACTTTGCAATCTGATGACTAATAACAAATAAAGTCAACTGATGTATAATTATGCTTCATGAACCACCATACTCCGAAAAACTATTTGTGATTTGTTGTTTTTGTAATGTAAACGTATCCATAACTTGACGTACATACAGGCCAAATCTCAGATAAAATATTTGTTATGTTACGGGGGTCTATATTTGTATTTATTGGTAGTAACGAATTGCCAAAAAGCTATTAGTCCAGTCATTTAAGCTTACATTAGGTAAGAAGCTCGGAATTCGAAATATGACTTTTGTTACTGTCAACTCATACAAATATACCCCCGTATAATATTTCTATTTTATTCGAGATTCGCCCTATAGTTATAAAAAATACATTTTCGAAATTCAGTCCATCTTCATGTATTTATTTCCTTCGCACGTAACGAATACAAACATGGAACGTGCGATGTTGAGTGATAAATGCAGTTTCTTGCCTAAAGCAGGCACAAATATTTACATCTTTTAACCTAAAACTATAAAGCATGTGTTGGCCCAAAATTTTGTTTCTTTTTAACCGAAATTATCTAAACGTACTAAGGAATAATCAGCAATTGTAATATAAATTAGGCGGCGTGTGAAAGATAAATTTGAAATAGGTTGAGCCATCGAATGTTTTATTTATTGCTAAATATTTCTTAAAATCCTTGTATTAGTATATAATCCATGTTTAATTAATATATCAACCCTTTCGCTACAAGCGTCGTCTATAGACGACATCCTGACCTTGAGATGACCTGCGTACACGAATGTCGCCTTAACATTTATCACTCTTGGTTAAATTATTGAGAATTCTAATTTGGAAAATATTTATTATTCTAGAATTTTCACAATTTTTACCTTTGTTTTTATTATTACTTGCCTTGTATTTTTCCCTCATTTTCAAGTTCAAGTTTTTTTCAATTAAAAAAAAGATATATTTTAATATATAATATGTATACTACATAATGGTACATTGGTCTTCTCTTGGGTACAAATATTTTTTCATTAGATATTTTTTATGTCAGTACATCTATATGTAATATAAAAATAGAAAACAGTGTATTATATTCATGGGACAAAAACAAGAATAGTTTCGACCATTCTTAAAAAAATTCACATACCAATATTTATCGAAATAGAAAGGGTTCTAATTATATCTATGGGTGGATAATTTGGATGGCGTTTTTCCCTCATTTTCATCAATTTCTGATATTAAAATATCTCTGTTTAATTTTTGAGCCAAAAAGTATCTTTTTCATGTTCGACTTACGTGTTCATAAATGCATTTTCGTTATGTTTTTCTTAAGTTTTTTAACCTTTCGGTTCTATGTTTACTTGCCTGTGTTTCTATTTATAAACCAGAACGTTCCTCGTACATAAATATCGACGTAGCGTAAACAGTTACGAAAAATATCCGCGTTTGTGCTTACAAGTTGTATTTTTATTTATAGATGTATTTGATTAAAAATGACATTTGATATGTTGCACTCTGGAAAAAATATCATTTTTGCAGCGGGGGAAATACCGTTTGCAATCTTGGTATTTCTTCATTGATGTGAGTAATTTCCGGAAAAGTAAATTTGAATTTGTAGTACTTAAAATAAAATTTAAAAAACTGCTAATAGTACGTTCAAATGTGAAATGCTGCAATAATTTCGTCGGGTGAATTTTGTAGTATAAAAACATATTGTGTCAGCACAGAGATTTAGGAGCCTATTCTCTCATAAAATGGAAATGTTATTGTAATGCGATGTTACGGGTCTGTCTTCGTATGAATTGGTCAATCAAAATAAAAATGTACTTGCTGTGCGATCAGGCGTTTCACAGTTTAACTCTAACCTACAAAACGCACAAACGTCAAATAACAATTTTATCATAAGTGCATCTTTTTAACGCCTTCTTGATAACTCTAACGTAATGTTAATTTTATGTGTAAAACGCCTGATCGCACAGCAAAAACATAGCTTTTTGACAGATCGTTACTACCAATTCATACGAAGATTGACCCATAACATAGTGTTACATTACATTTTTATTTTATCGGAGAATTGGCCCCTTACTTCAATCACTTTAATTCAGACAAAAAAAAAATTAATTTATTGAGATATTAAAATATTTATAGTCACATACTTGACTTAAAATTTAGAATCACATACTTAACATGTTATTAAAATTGATAAATTTAGTTATTGAAATTAACCTTATCACTGCGAGCGTCGTCTATAGGCGACATCCACTTGACGTTATCCAATGTGACGAATTTTGCTTTAATATTTATCACTTTGAGTTAAATCTTTTAGAATTCTAATTTCTAATTGGTTTGCAATTTTTAATAAGTGTAATATTTAATTTTTAAATACATTTATATCGATAATGATTAGAAAATCTGAAAATATTTTATATAACAAATAATTGGTCGTTTTACTGACTTGTAAAGCTAAAAATTATTGAAAATAATCGCTTGACGTCCTGTATGTAAGAATATCGCCTGTTCGCGGCTTCCTATATAACGAATTTTGCTTCAATATTTATCACTCCAATTTAAATTTCATATAAATTTTTTTAGTAATGTTTAATTTTTAAATGCATCCATCGATAATTATTGGAAAATCGAAAAATATTTTGTGCAACAAATACTAGCCATTAGATTATTGATAATAATCGTTTCGCTACGAGGGTCATCTATGGACGACATCCGCTTGACTGCTTGTGTGCGCGAACGTCACCTATAGACGACAACCAGTGTGACGAATTTTGCTTCAATATTTATCACTCTGAATTAAATTATTGATGAATCCAATTTGTTACTGTAGTTTTTCGTTGTTTATAAGTGTAATTTTTAATTTTTAAGTACAACTATATCGATAATGATTAACAAATATACAAATCACTCCTGCGGAAAACACTCTCGTAGCGAAAGGATTAATTTAATAACTTAACACTGCCAATTTAAATCAATTCATTCGTACATTCATTTTTCACTTTCATATTCCTCATTATCAATTTAATTAGAACCTAATTTCGAATTTCGATAATTCTCACTTCCAAAATTTGATAAATTTCACGGTACGCGTCGATCTCCTTATCTGCACCTCATCCGACAATATCTCGGTAATATAATGCAATTTCGATGTTATTTCGATACGGCAATTAAGATCTCCCCGTTCAGTGATTTGCGGTGTTCCCAAACGTCAGTCTGCGCGGTAAGAGAGCGATAACGGTTCTAATTAAATTTACTCAAATTCGACCCAATTCACAAATGGACCGTGGATCGAAATTCCATGTAATAGACTGAAATACCGAAATTAAAACGAACTTCAACTCGACGCCCCCTAACGGACGCTTGTTTCATCACTTTACAATCTACTAAGTCTGTTTCTAATCGTATCAAATATTTACGCTTGCTGCATTCGGTTTTGATCTTCAAAGAACGCAAACGTAAGTTCTTGACTCTATCCTAAATAATTTAGATTTTTTTTTCATTTTGACTTGCATCTATAATATATTTTTATTAATTCGATGTTTGTATTAATATATAATGATTTTAATTAATAATTGCATTTATAGTTTAATATTATTTTTAAATCTTAGTGTATTCTTGTTATGAGTATGTATCCACTAATATTTTATATACGAGGTGTGTTCAAAAAGTACTAGAAATTTTTAATTTTCTCTAGTCTGGAGAGTCTCTTGTCAAAATTCATTGTGTTGGTATACATGTTGGTATGATGACATTTTTAGCTATCTTAACTGTTTACTTTGTCTGTGATAATCGCTAAGGTTTAACGTATTTGTTTGCCATTTTTGCTTGGTGGAAGAATTGAAGAGTCAAAGAATTCTCACTAAATTTTGCGTAAAAAATTAAATAAAGTGTTACAAAGTGTGTGAAATGTTACAAAAAGTCCATGGTGAGCCTGCTATAAAAAACAAGTGTTTACCCCGGTGGTCGCAAAAACGTTGATGATGAGGAACGCTCTGGTCAGCCCAACACGTCAGTGGAAAAAAGTGGAAAATATGGTTATAAATTATCGCCGACTCACAATTAGAGAAGCTCCTGATGAAGTTGGCATATGAATTGCCTCACTGTTTCAAATGTTTTGGGCATGAAACAAGTGGCAGTTAGATTTATTCCAAAACTGCTGACGCACCTGGTCACTCTTCGTTGCTTGTTGGTAATTTTTTTGCCATACCAATACTGTAGTCGTGCTCCATATTAAACAGATACGGCTCAAGTATCTGCATCAACATATCATATGGTAAACAAGTGTTTACCGGTGGTCGCAAAGACATTGATGACGAATATCTCACGAGCTCCGGTCGACCCAACACGTCAATAATCGATAAATATGTGAAAAAAGTGGAAAAAATGGTTATGAATTATCGCCGAATCACAATAAGAGAAGTTGCTGATGAAGTTGACATGTGAATTGCCCATTGTTTCAAATGTTTTGGACATGAAACAAGTGGCAGCTAGATTTATTCCAAAACTGCTGACGCACTTGGTCATTCATTGTTGCTTGTTCGCATTTTTTTTGCCATAAGCCATACGGTCCCCCAACCTCTATATTCAACAGATGCGGCTCTGGTTGACCTTTTCCTGTTTCCAATGTTGGACTAACCCATAAAAGGACTGCATTTTTCTCCTATTGTTTAAATAATCAGCAATAGCATGCATCGCAGAGCCATACAAACACGTCAAACCTTAGTGACTATCACAGACAAAGTAAACAGTGAATACAGTTGAAAATTTCATCATATTTTAGGGGAATATATACCACCGCAATAACAAAAAGTTTTGGCGATCAGACTCCCCAGACCCGAGAAATTTAAAACTTCCGAGTACTTTTTGAACACACCTCGTGCTACCACATAATTTAGTTCTGTGTGCTTTGAAGTTTATTAATCATGACAAGTTTATTAAATTTTTACAATTGTTTACAACACAGCATTCTAAGTAGAAACCACTCTCGGTTCACACAATATGTAACCAATTTCATCTTGTCATTATTCCAAATTCGAACATCTATTACCGCATGAACTTACTACAATCAGGCCCAAATCACGACGTTAAATTTATTTCATTCAATATCAATGTTATAATGTTTTACTGTTTCATATTGTTTATTTATTGGTTATTAATTTACTATTTGTGTTTTTAATTCAGAGCCACATCTACGACCAACGTGACGTTCACGGCGGCGCCTTTGACTAGGAGGTCATCAGAACGCGAGCTGGACGGAAGCAAAAAACGCGCCACGAGCGCAGGCGGACTGGACAGACAGCCAGGAGAAGGTCAGTTGGAAAATTATTTGTATTGTTTTGTTGCTTACTGCTTGGTTTGATTAGAGAAAAAGGAAAAATGTTAGATCGTTCGTACGAAACTGTCTTTTTTAAAAGTCAAGAAAATTGTTTGAAATAAGGTGGTCAGATCGTACATCGTTCAGGTTTTGGATCAATATAATATTACGTTGGGGAAAAAGAAATCTATCAATTTTCGGTAGATTTCATATAAAATATTGATCAAATAATTTCAGATTTATGCTCGTTGGAAATTTTTTTATCATATATTTTTTTGATGCACACTTATTTTTTCTCCTCAGTGCTACTCCAATACAATTCAGTAATTTTTATAAGTTATTATTTTAATATTATATATAGTATTATTTTTAGTACCACGACAGTTTCGTAGGTTAGATTTACAATAAAAAGCCATCGTTTATGCTTTTCATTTGTTTAAATATATTTTTATCAACAAATAATTTTTATTCAATGCATCATTATGTTTAGATAGTGAAATTTTGTTAGAAAAGTTTATAATATAACGACAATGAAATTACAATATACTAATAATATATACCCAAATTACCGCAGAATGTGTATTATGAATGTGTATTCCAACAGAACACATGCTAAAATAGTAGAGCATCGCTATTAACTCATAAATAACAAGTAGCAATATAATCCCATCGTATAAATACATTCTAACATGTGCACTATACATATTAAGTATTATTATGTGAAATACATACTCGATTGTATATATTTAATAATGCTCCAAATTATATTATAAAGACTTATCTGCAGTCGTTTCACGTACTTTTCCATGGCAAATTTATAAATGAAAGTAACTAAATTATTATTATAAAGAAATTCTGTCCTCTAGATCATCGTTTTATCAGACCGAATAAGTGATAGGATCTCTGGAAAACATATAGGTGCAACGTCGTTATATTAATAGAAATACATATAGAAAACATATAGGAATAAATAGCGATGATTTTTTATTGATCTATTAAACTAAGTAATAAAAGTTTGCCCATTAATTTTTCCCAATATTGGATGTTTTTACGTTTATGATTCGTAACGTTTTAATACCATTGATTTTTAAGCTCAAATATAATGACTTATTCGAATTTTTGATTATTTTGCTAGAATTACTATATTTACTGAAGTTGAGATACTTCACCGCATTTCGAATAACGTTGTAAATAACGTAGCAGGTATTGCAAAATATGATTCCACGTCGTTATTATTAAAATTGAGTATATATTTAACTTTTTAAACTTTAAATATTTTTCAACGATCTTAAACTATAGTGATTAACGAAAGATAATTAGTTTTTGCAGACTAAATAGTTTAGGTTGTTCGGAAAGTAATTTTTTCAAAACAAAGATTTTTAATTCATAATTTAACACATAAATGCTGTACTATTTTGCGATCTAATTGAGGAAGAAATGTGTAGGAAAATGCCTAATTGTTTCACTTTTTTAAATTGAGATTCAATTAAATTCAGAGAGAAAAAAGAGACTTCTACTAATATTTTAACTATTTACTTCAGATTAGTTTATAATAGTATTCAATCCAAAATTAAACTATTGGACCAATTCTCGGATAAAATAGCTATGTTATGTTACGGGTTTCTTATGTTGATTAGTCGCATAAGTTGATAGTCAAAACGAAACTGTGAAAAATGCCTATGTCTATGATGTATTTTCGAGCATTTTATTCAATTTCAACTACTAAATATAACCTCCAAATGTTTAAATTGTCTAAATATTAGTTAGACTTTTCTTATGTGTTACTTCCCGCAACAATTTGTTGCACCTACAAATAAAATTTGCGTGAAGTCAAACTAATATTATATTTTGACATTTGTGCCATTTGGAGGTTAGTTTTTAACAGTTGACATTGTGAAAAACGTTTGAATAAGCATCATAGACATATAGACCAGTCATCAAAAAAGCTCTTACCTCAAAAGTTTTCTGGAAATTTTGAAAATTGCTAATTTTATAGGTTTTGATATGAGCGGTCAAATACCGGGAGGTCCGAATGGCGGCGCGAGCTGCAAAGACTTTGCGGCGCACGTACGCTAAAACTACTGATTTTACAGAAAAAGTTATTGTAAAAATTATAGGAAATTTTGTCTAGTTTAATTTTGTATATAGATATTTTATTGCAACATGAGTCGGAAAAAAGATATCGTTAAAAAACTGATCTTTTACGCAATTTTTTCAATATGGCGGTAACGGCAAAAATTCGAGGTCGCAAAGTTGAAATTCGTAAAGATCACATTAAAATCTATAAAATCACTAATTTTCAAAACTCCCAGAAAACTTTTAAGGTATGACTACTGAATGACTGAACTGGTAGCTTTTTGGCAGTTACGGGACTACCAATTAATGCGTCTACTTAACATTAGAGACTTGTAATATAATACAGCTATTTTATCCGAGGACTGGCTTATACGTGTCTATAAATAAGATAAGTTGCCAGTACACCAGAACTAGTTTGGAAAATTTCAACGCGATAATTTTTATTTCGGATTTGCACCGAAGTTTTGGTTTTCAGTTTTCAGTTTTGGAAAGCTAATCGCATGTGATGATCTTTATAGTTGCAAATTCACGATATCGTTGAATCGATAAAAGTTCTAAAAATCAATTTTTGGCAAGCACTAGAACTATCAAAAATTTATTCTTTAGCCAGCACTTTGCCACCAATACCAAATTATTTTCCGAACAACCCAATAAAATTTTTATTACAATTTCTTACAACCCCAATTGCACGTTTACCGGACCTTTACCCCCGCATGCTTAAAAATTAAAAATTTCTATGAGTCTAACCTTTACCCCGAAACCTGATTTGCGACATCAGACCGTATGGCCACGTCCATGTACGAGGTGTTCAGTTGGACCGAGCAACCTGGTGCTGCCTCTAACCCTCCCGTGCGTCCGGTTAGACGCTCAGTGACTCCCGGTTCCGAACGATCCGGTTCTCTGCACAAACGTTACAGTCTGGCCGTAGCTCCTCACAGCACTATCGACCTGGACGCCGGTGAGTCTGGACATCAGCTTAAGTCGACTAAAAATCAGGCGATTTCCGCACCGTCGACACCGAACAGCAGACATTCGGCGGCTGTTGGTGCAATGTCGATGAGCGTGTGCGGTGAGCGTGGATTAATTGATACTTTTGGGGACCCGTGTAAAGGATATTGAAGGATTTTTTTTATTTTCATGAGTTTATCAGGCCACGGATGACTAGTAGCATGTTTGGAATTATTTAGTAATAGCTCGTGAATGCTCAGTTTTATTTTTATGGTATTCAAGACAAATCAATTATTGAATCGATCTATTATAGAACTCGATTTTTCAGTCAAGGTATTCTAAAAATTATAAAAGGGAAATAAATAAAGTGTATAATAAATCAGAAGCTGATAACGTTTACTTAAATAGGTCCACAAAATGAAATTTGTCTGTATTGGATGTGCGACATATGTGTTCCAATGATTTTTTTTACCGCTGATCACGAATCTAAAGTCAAATTTTGTGAATAATCTCCAAAAATTGGAGCAAAGTAAAAAAACAACAAAATCTCTAATCTAGAAATTTATCTACATGATAATTAAGGTACCGATTCTGCTCCATAACAGACAAATGTTATAACAAGGCAATGTTACGCTCCAACTTCTATACATTATGCTACTGAATCATACTGAATACTGTCGAAATGTCATGTGTTTGCTTTGCATTCAGGCGTTTTACACATAAACTGCGACGTCACTCGTATGTTATGAAGCTTAGTCAGAAAGTCCTGTTATCTAAGATCGCTTTTTGACATTTGTGCGGTTTCTAGGTTATGCTTACTATCTGACAACCTGAGAAAATCGCCTAACTGCACAGCAACGACATGGCTTTTGTCAATATTAGAACGAATTTGTATGGAAAGTTCTTCATAACATAGCCTTGCCATAACAGTTTTCGGTTATGCGGCCAATCGGTCCCTAAATCTTATAATTTCTATCGTTTTCCTGGCCCCTTTTTTAAATCACCTGTGGAATGGATTTCTTCATCTCTTTTTTCACCTCTGTGATATGTTTTTGTAGCTTTCAGCAACAATTTGCAAACATATTTACTAAAAATTGCCCTAAATAATCTGCAAACATATTGCATTTATCTGGAAAAAAATTCGTTGCAGAAATCCGTTGCACAGATCATTTAAGGAGATCAGGAAACGACAAGTTTATAAGATTTTAATTTTTATGTAAAAAATTTTTTTGATCGGAGATTTTGACGTTTCTTGTATTTGTTTTCGAATTTGGAGTTCAAAACTCCAATTTTTGACTTAATTTTTATAATCAATCCG